CCCCTCTCTACAATTCAGGAACAATGATTTGCAAATTCTTCAGCCAATTAGTCCAGTAACTTACTACTGTTTCTAATGCACAGAATGTCACAGGCTGTTTTGCAGCCGCCCCAAGTTGGTTTGTTAATAACAGGAAGCTAGCACTTCTCAGTACAGTGGATCAGCTACACGTGAAAATAAATGCAAAAAACCTGGAGGGGAATAGCAGCAGACCGAGAGTAGCCTTGATTTAATTTAACATTTGGGGGTCCACACACAAATAAGCATTTTAGTAGGCTTCATGGTGGAAGTTGCTGTCATTTGTAAAATATTCTGGCCAATTAGCTAATAGTGTGCTTGGATTTCTCCTGTTTTGATACAGTAATACTAAGTACATTGTGAAGCCCAATTATACAAATCATCCCCATATGCCATACCAGTCTTTCTTTATGAACTGTGTTTATAAATCCTGTGTGAGGAAATGTGTACTTCAGCAATTTAGACCATGTGTAAAAACATAGCCAATGGGATTGTCAAGAAAACAAGTTCCAGCCTAGGAAATCCTAATGTGTTCCGCTGGAATAACAGGAGGGTGCCGAGGAGTGCAGGGCTCTGCTTAAATACATATTGCTTTATAGTGTTTAACCAATTTAGGGGCATCCATTTCCTTCTCTGTTATTTTATTCTTTTCTTTTAGGATCCAACCTTAGAGTTCTTGAGAAATTTTGGGATTGGTCTTCTCTCGGGGACAATAGCTTCAGTCATTAATATCCCTTTTGATGTTGCCAAAAGTCGGATTCAAGGGCCTCAACCAGTTCCTGGAGAGATCAAGTACAGAACCTGTTTTAAAACAATGGCAACAGTCTACCAGGAAGAAGGGTAACACTTTCTTATTCTATAAATGAAGAAGGCTCAAATAGTGTTAAGGCCATATTGTACTTCTAGTTTGTTGAGAACCAGTAAGCCCTCCTAAATTGGGTGTGTCTAAGGAGCTCCCGGAATATATAACAAATTTTGCAAGGGGACACAATAATGAGATGTTGGCAAAATGTGCATATAAGAGCGAGATCGTGCTATCAGGCACGATCATGCAATACACCGCATGTTTGCCTTAGAACGCTAAGATGAACTTTTTATTTGTCAGTTTACATAATACACTATTGTGTATTGTAAATCTTACTAGTGTATGGGTGCATAATAATAGCATTCTGACTATAAATCTAATCAAAATGCCACCTAATTATATTCTCCTGGGAGAATTAAATGTGAGAATTGTATAAAGCAAAGGTTTGTGAAAAAATGTCTTTTCTTTATCTTTTTAAGTCTTACTTTTTGTCACTTTACTTCCCCTCACCAATCTTATTCTCAAGTAAACGAGTGACACATTATTATTTTGATCTAGACTGCATCATATTTCTTAACGTGAAGACAGAGTTTGTGGTCTTTTAAATTCAATTACAAAGGCCAGTTTGTCCATATATACAGCTACCTTGAAAGCAAGAGCTGTCTTGAAATGAAAAACCATCTCGCTGATGAAAGTCATGTTTCTGATTGGACAAGACCAGCATAGCGTGGATAATAAAGAATTGCTTAACTCTTTCCCCTCATCCAATTTGCTGAAGAGAATGCAAAGCCAGATGCTGTCAGGTTTGAAATGGGTACAATTTCAAAGAATTTCTTTCAAGTGCTAAGCTAGCATCTCAATAAAACTTTTATTTTCAGAATAAAATAAATAAAATTTTATTTTCAGAATAAAAATGCTGCTCTTTTCCTTCTAATTATAGGATTTTTGCTTTATACAAAGGCCTGCTTCCCAAGATTATGAGACTTGGACCAGGTAAGGAAACTTTCATTATTTATTCTGCATTTCAGTGTCTCTTCTTCAGCTATTTGTGTTTACCTGCAGAACAATAAAAGTTTACCACACTTGGAGAGATGAAAACTTTTAGGATGTGAAGTTGTCTATCAATAGTCACAACACTGAAGATATCCATTACAAATATTTTACCTTTGTTTGTAAAGAATTGTTTGTAACCTTGCTTGGCTGGTGGAAAGCAAAGCACAGGCTTAGTAAAATAGAAAGAACAGCCCGTTGGAGCTGAGCACCCAAGCAGGAGGAGAGCCTTCTGAATGAAGTCACTATTTCCTGAATGAGGACCCTTCCTGGTCAGGCCCCTCCTTGTGCTTCCAGTTGAGTCCCAATCCTACCTCACATTCTGTTCAAGAGGTGCAAAGGAGAAAGGAAGACAGCTTGCCCCCTAACACTGCCCCAGTCACCTCCAGGGCCTGGTGATGCTGCTGCAGGGTCCTGCTTTTCTTGGCCTCTGCCAGTTGGACAGTGGAGGCTCATGGCTCAGCCTTACACCCTCCAAAATCAAACACCACCTGACTTCCATTCCTATCGGGAGTGCCAGCTGCTTCTATGTAAATAGATAAGAAAATAAGTGCTGCAGACTCTATCGCTGGGGCAAATAGTCTTGGGTTATAAACAGCTTTGTGAATAAGTCCAAAAGCATGCTCCTCACCACCTTTTGGGGGGATCTGGATCATAAACTCCTACTTAGACATCTTGTGATCCTCTCTGGATCACAAACATTCGCCAGTCCTCCCTTTGTACACCAGCATCCTCCTCCTTGCTGCACCTGCACATGCGCACGGCTGTTTAGATCTTACCCAATAAACGGTCATTTCTGTCAACCTAAGAAAACGAACAACAGTTTGTAAATGAAGCTAGTGAATAGAGTACATATTAGAAAGACACTCTCACAATACATCCACCCTGACACTTGCCAATATTCAAGCATAGGTTTTGCTTCACGTTTAAGATCCAGATCTGCCTTCTCTTTGTCACTGGATCATATGTAAAAAAAAAAAAAAAAAACCTAACATCATCATCATCATCATAATAATAATAAAGAACATTGAGGATTATGTAAATCTTTGCAGTTACTGCATGTGATGGTTTTCCTTCACCACACATTAAAAACCTACCAGGAAGACTGGGGAGATGGCTCAGTGGAATAAATGTTTTCCTGGCAAGTGCAAGGGCCTGAGTTCAATCCCCAGTTCCGCCAAAAAATAAATAAATAAATAAATAAATACCAGGAGACCTAATATTAAAGAAAAATTACATGACTGACATGAAACCAACTTTCTCAGAAGGGTCTAAAAAAGATGGTGACCAGACACATAGCAAGTGACTGGAACCTTAAGCTAAAGCTCTTAAATAACCTGCCCCCAAGTTTTCTTAGAGGCTTGCAAATGTTCACTTGAGTTTTAAGTGTTTTTTTTTCATGAGAGGTTCTGAGTTGCTGTGGTGATAAGCCCAGTGAAAAGTATTGTGAACTTGCTGTCCATGCTAAACAAAGTTGTGATAACTGATAACCTCACTCAGAGACCTGGCCACCACTTAGTTCCAAGTGTGTACGTCCCAGCAAGTTCAAAGGAATAAGGCAGAGAAGGCAAGACTTTTGAGTTAAAGCCAACCGAAATTTTGAGAAAGCAAGAGAGAAGATAAGCTTGTACTTTTCATTCATAATTTTGAGGAAGCAGCCAATATTATCTTTATAACAGCCTTAGCAGCTTTATGTGGTTAAAAATCAGTCACCTCCTACAAATGTCTGTGGTTTGAACTCCAAATCTCAGTAGATAGAAATTAACCCAATTCTGCATAATCTTTGCATGATATGGGGAGCAGTTAAGGGTAAATACAACAATCACATATGTGTAGGAGCACCTTGTATAGTGCTTCCTTTTTTGGTTTGTCATAATTCTAAGAGGGCTGAGTGAAGCTAGTAGAATACCTTAAAGGGTTAAAAATTAAAATTGCAGGCAAATTGTTTCTGTTTTATGGTTACACAAACATATGCACTGCATAGGCTTTTTTGGTTTTGTTTTGTTTTTTGTTTTTGCATTTTAGTACAGGGTCTACAGGGTCTCACTACACAGATCAGACTCGTAGTGATCTGCCTGTGTTCAGCCTCCCAAGAGCTGGGATTACAGGCGCACACCACCACGCCCAGTCTCAGTTGAGTCTCAGCATGTCCCAGGGGTGGGGCCAGCATGGCATGCCAGGGATCAAACCCCGGTCACTGTGCTCTGCCTAAGCAGGTGCTTTAATCCACTGAACTGTTTGTACAGTCCTCTATAAGTTTTTTCTTTTTTTTTTCTTAAATCATATGCAGTGTGTACAAAATAAGATCCAAATGAAGTTCTATTTCTTTCCAGAAGAAGTCAATCTTCTATGCAGACAACCCAGTCTCCACTGAGTTGTGCTCTGCATACTCGTCTACCTTCTGATTTTGTAATATTTTCCACACAGTTTTTAAGAGATCCTAAGGTACAGAACGTGTGTTATTTATTGCACCAGAGAAAACAAAGTCATCCATGTACAAATCCTTCTCCCAGGGTCCAGGTATTCAGAGCCTCGGCACCTGTTTTCCAGAATCATATCCTGCTTGTGCACGACAGGCAAACCTCTTTGTAGCCATTATAAAACTTTTCCAAGACAAATGGTGATTTTATGCGGCTCAATTCCCCTACCAGAATTTCAAGTTCGAATCTGTACACATCTGAGGCAGATAAGTGGAATGCTGGCTGCCCCTTCTTGTTCAGCTTTGCAGTATAGACTTTCAAAGACATTCAGAAGCTATTTTGCACATTGCAACCCACTTTGGATGCCTAAGGAAAAAAAGACCCCTCAATCAAGCACCATCTGAGAGACTTCCTTCTTGAATGCTACTAAGATAATACTAATTATGGACTGAAAAAACATAAATCCTTTGCTGATGTACAAAGAAGCTGAAGATTTCTGTTCACAAGAAAGCCACATTCCCTTACATGACTAAATATGTCCGTATTTATTTACTTTTCAAAAAATTAAAAATGCCTGGAAAAGATCACAATGAGAAATAATAAAAGTTGCAGAAAGTCATGGGGAAAATGTATTCAGAGACTCAAGATGGCCTTGGTTTTGCCCTGAGAATTTTCCACAACAGTTTTATACCCATGTCCCAGTGCTCCAGAGCAGCCTGATGAGCTTCCTGCGATGGGGAGCGTTCAGAAATAGGGGAGAACACAATGCTGTTTCACAGATTTTGTCATTTTTAAAAGGCTCTTTTCTTTTCTAGGAGGTGCGGTGATGCTGCTGGTTTATGAATACTCCTATTCATGGCTGCAGGAGAACTGGTGATTTTTGAGGAAACGTTTTCTCTGGAGATAATGGATATTTGCTCTCTAGCACCATGAAGGGGAGACGTTATTGATCAGCTCAGCTAGGTATACAGTGAAGAAGGGGAAAAACAGCTTGGTCAAGAACAGCTTGGCACTTTAGATTTTATCTTTAGGCAATGTGAGGTAGTAGTTCAAGATATATAAATGATAGAGGAAATACAGAGATGAGAAATGATAGATGGTAAAGAAAGCATGAACCAATAAGATACACTGTGAAAAGTTATATGAAACAATTAGGTATATAAATTGAATATTAAAATAGCATAGATATCAGATATATTTCACAAGAGCAATATAAAATTTGTGAAAATTAACAGGAAGCACTGAGGTGTTTGAGTAAAATATTAAAATAGTATATAAACTCCAGCTAAGGAATGTAAACATTATGAACTGCAGGGATCTACAGAATGGAAAGGCATCAAGAGATGGGTGGGGGGAAAGGGATGGAAGGGACAAGGGATGAAAACAGGAATTAAGATGTGTTATGCAAATGTATCAATTTCCCACAAGGGACGTAAACATTATGTACTACACTAATAAATGAAAATGATAAAAAATAATCAATAAAAAGCCATGTAAGCTTTGTCTCCTTTACTGCCTCACAATGCAAATTCATTGCAGTGTTGTTTTTTCTAAAAGGCATGTATATGCTTAAAATTCTCGACATCAAATTATCCTGTGGCTAACTCTTTAAGAATTGTTTTCAGAAACACTGGACCTGGACCCCCCCCCAAAAAAAGCTGAAACTGAAGCGTTTTTCAAATAATTATTTTCCTATAAACATTTTAAAAGCAGAAAACATGTCTTCAAGGTACACTAAAATGGCCTTTAAAGAATACTTAATTTTATGAGTGCTATGCTAAAATGTAAATCTGTTGGTTTTCTTTAGTAATAATATATCTCAGCTTTATTTTCTTAGCTGTACTTCATATTTCACATGGTTACATAGGTATTTTTAAGTCATGCTATCTGAAGGTTTTGATTACAAATAAAATACAAGAGATTATAGGAAACATTTTTATTGCTGAGATGGTTTCATTTTAAATCAAAAATTGGAAGTGCTTGTTAAGCCCATTTGTGTTCTCTGTATTTGTATCAAAACACCTTTGTATAAATATTTTATTCATGTAGTTCTTAAGAATGTATCAACTACAGTTATATGTCCAAATTACTGGTTTTAAGTGATAGCTTTGGGTGTGAAATATACTATCTATAATATTAAAATATGTATGATAAAAATGTTTCAAAATAGGAGAACATTCTTAGTATTTCTAAGAATTCCTGTACCAGCACGCACTCTTAAAATCTAGCTGCTTGATTTTAACCAAATAAACCAAAGCCGATTCAGTGTTGCATCCTCAAAAGATGGTACTTCAGCAGCTAAAGCCCACACAAATACTTTCATGTTCTAGAGAACACATGTTCTAGACCATTAATTACTCTGGGATATTTTTTACAATGAGGCTATTTTACTAAGGTATTTTGAAAATAAAAAGTAAAGATTACATGATAATTATTAGTTTTTATTAACTTAGAGCATTTGAAGTATAAAAATAAAAGGCTTTTTAACATACTGTATATACATACACAGCCTTCTGCTATACATCCCTTTCGACATGTTTTTTTAAATTTATATTTAAGCCCAATATTTAATAAGTGGGTCATGAAAAACAGAAAACCAATAGAAATAAGAATGTGTGTGATGCACAACTGCCTTCTATCCTTGCAGATAGTACTCTGTGTCCTGTGAGAGTCCTGCAGGCACAGGGCCATGAACCCTTTCACCTCTCCTCGTGGAGGAGATACAAAAGGATTTCTGAGGAGTGCATTTGCCAATTCACAAATGACACATCACCCTCTACGAAACAGAGGAAATGTGTCAATGTTAGCCAATAACAATAATGTTGAAAAATCAAACAGTCCCAATCCCATGCCCCATCCAATCTTCCTTCTCATAGTTTTAAAATTAGCTTCAAGTCATAATTTGCTTTGAATAGCAAATTGTATTTGGGCTTTCTGTTGCCTTTTTAAAATTGTTCCATGTGAATTAACTGTTAAAATAAGGCCTGGGAAGAAAAACAAAAGGAAAAAAGAAAACATTGATATCATTAATATTAGATTTCTTAAAAATATGAAAACCAGAAAAATTTATAAATAACAATAACAAGAATTTCTTAATTTAGAAAAAGAAAATAACATTTAAGTTGTGTTTTCATATAAACAACTAATATTTTTTTAAAAGATTCCCCTCATAGCCATTTGAAAATACTTGATAGAGAATAATTCTGTACTTTGTGTTAGTTTTTCTGGATGCCAGGGGAGTCACTATGCAGTATGGTTTTAAAGTCTCCACCAAAATATTGGGTTAGATCTTTGTTCCATTTGGTTTATAGTCTATTTTCTCACCAGACTGGGAACTCCAGATGTTAATGGGAGTTTTACAAGACGAAAGGAAGACTATGGCCCTGAGAGTTCATCGGCTTCTGCTACTGCTTCTCCTGGAGTTATAATCCTCTCTTTGGAGCACTGAAGCTCAACTGCTTTAGAAATAAATGCAGTTCAAAGCTCTCTATAAAGTATCTGCTTTTGAAAAAAGCCGTTCTTCCGACATAATGTATGTGTCCAAACTCTGCTTACTGTTCATACCCTGGCAATTGGACCTAGCCAGCTGAGTTGCAAAGGAAGCCATGAAACTTCCACAGCAGAACTGGCTCACCGTGTAGCTGTGCATGGCACAGATACGAAGACATCCAAGTCACCTAACAAATGCTTCTGCGACATCCACATCGAGTGAGGTGTCCCTTTAGTTATTGCACAGAATTAATACCAAAAACAAAAAAAAAAACCCTACAATATATTAATTTCCCACTAGGTGAACTGTACCAATGTTCTAAAATTGTTTTAAGCCTATATCATCAAGCAGGGAGCACTTCCTAAACAGAAAGGATAAAAACTAGAATTTTGCCCAAGAAAATCAAGTGTTTTAAAATACAACACATAATCACATGCTCACACACACATATATTCCACAGCTCGATTATTAACATTAAAGTGAAAAATAAGTTGGTCTAAAAAAGATGTGTCCATCTGTGTCCTGTAGCTCTAGAAATGAATAAAGGGAATTTGTCAACATTAAATAGTATTTATATTTCTAGTACCACCACCAGTTTGCCTATAGGTGAACCATGCTTCTGTACAACAATGTAAACTTCACAGCAAGCCATTGTTACATTCATTCGAGCAGAATTTTCCATTTTGTGTAAGTTACAACATAATTCTGGGCTGAGACTGCTGAACACACAGGTAAGCCAACAATAACAGTACAATTTAGTTTCACAGTGGTTTTCTTAACAGAAAGTTCATTTTAAGTGTCTTTGCAAAGCATTTCACATTAAACTTGTTTCTAAGCGTCTTCCTTCAGAGCCTTCTTGTTCAGCTATTTTCCACCCTCTTGCCTTTATACGCTTGGCATGTGTATTGTTTGACGGGGGTACCAAATAGGAGATAGGCTTGCTTTATCTGTTCTTTGAGGCCTCTGCTGTAGGAAGAAATTTTCCTTCATGAGATGCTGAACCTTTCACTGCACACACAAAATCTGGGGGCAAGTCCGGGCCCGGGAGCCCAAGTAGCCCACGACCAAACAGAGGCAAAGATGTTGCCAGAAAGTCACCTGGGGAGGGAGGAGTGGGGGAGGGGCGTGAAAGAGGGGGAGGGTTGAAGGAAAGGTGGGGGATACCCCATGGAATGAAGCCACAATGCACCATCTAAGCCCATATTTACAGACTAATAGAAAATATAAACATCACTGCATCTGGAGCCAAGTCAAAGCACCGGGAGGAGCTAAGTAGACAAATTGCTTTGAATTCTACACATATTTTTAAACAAAATAGGTCATCTCTTAAAAATAGAAAAATAATCACTCCAACAAGTCAATTACTGATTGGTTTCCTAATAACAAACTAAGGCTTACTTGGTCACCTTATTTGATTAGAAGGCGTAACATAACTTTTTTCTACGTGTGTTTTCCTTTATTGATTTTGCAAAATCTCAACCATTGCACATTTCAAGAGTTCAGGTTGCTTTAGAATAAATACACATGTGTGGTTTTACCAAAGACTAGTTTTAAAAGTTCCTTAAACCCTTTGAGGGGTGTACGTTTCTTCACTACCTTAAAACAGTGTGTAGGGAACACAAGCATTTCATTCAATCCGTAAGGCCGCTTTTGTTTTTAAATCCTAAGTCACGTCCGGTTTTCTGCAAGAAAGAAGTTATGGCAAGAAATACTTAAGTGTCATCAGTACAAAGGAGGTGAGTCCATCAAGCCAGCTCTCGAAGCAGGGGCATTGGGGGCAGCAGGGGTGGGATGTGAAACCCCGGAGCAGGGGTAGGCTGTGCTGAGAGGGGGATCCCCGAGTGGAGCTGCCTGCCCGAGATGGAATTTCCCATCAGAGAGCAGAGGCGGTGACCGAATGACTACCTTCTCTGGCTGCCTGCATTCCCTTGAATGCCAGTGATGCGGGAATGTCACAGTTGTGGGGGGACAGTGGGGTGCCGCCGGCGTGTTGCCACCCATGTCCAGCTACATAACCAGAAGGAGCAGCGCTGTAGGTCATATAAGGCGACACTTGGGCTGGGGCAGGGTAAGGAGCCATGCTGGATGCGGACACAAAACTGCTCACAGCTGGGAGACCATTTGGTGCCTGAGAGGAAAAAGAGGTGAAAAATCATCACATTACAGTAGGCAACATTTCGCAGGTTCCCAGGAAGAAAGAGAAAGTGACATCTGAATACACAATATTGTGATTCTAATTTCTGATTCTTGTTTTTATTTGGCCTTAATTGTATTCTAAAAGCATTCACAGTTGTGCTACTTACACACACACACACACAAATGACAAAAGGCAAGATACTATTCTTTCCACCGAAGTTTTAGGAAAGCTACGATGAGAAAGTGCAAAGTATTTTGTGGATTTTTTGCCACTTGGAGGTACAAGAAGGAGAAACAGAGTGAGAAAAGAATTAATAGTGACTGAGAGGGGAAAGAGGTGCAGAAGGAGTAAAACTGATCAAAACTCAATATGTACGTGCATTAAAGATCCAGGCTGAAAACTTTTTTTTAAATAAAAAAACAATGGCAATTAAATACTCTTAGAATCTTTTCAGTTATCCAGGTTGCCATTGTCAGCTCTTAGTGCTTGGGGTTTGTTTTGTTCCTTTGGAAGAGCTTGTGGCAGGCCTGGCTGGGGCAGCTTTCACTTCCAGGGAAGAAGGGCCCGGGTTGTGGGCTGTCCTGCTAGACTCAAAGTGAGCAAACTTTGTTAAATAAAACATGGGCCATACTTTAAAATGTCATGTTGAAAATGTCTGTTGGACAAAAGACAGGCGTTTTGTCTTGTAAGGATTCTTCCTTTGTAGACAAAGATTGAGAGCATTTTTCCATGGCTATTTTTATCAGAAAAGAAACTGTCTATACAAATACAAAAGAACTGCACATGCACAGTTCTGAAACTGGAAATTTGGGGCAAGGTTTCGGAACTGTAGGATAACAGTTTTTTAAACCACATGGATAAATCTCTCAAAATGAGTTTAGATGTAAAATCTTTGTTTGCAAATAAAGTGCAACAACTCTAGCAGGCAAACCTGCCCAGAAACCATTGCTGTCTTGGCATCCACTAAGTTACTGTTGTTATCGTTACTATTAACAACACCAAAAACACCCAGATTTCTAATCCTGCTTCTGGCATGAACGCTCCACACCCTTCTTCAAGTGGCTTAATTTTTCCTCCTCAATTTCTATCCTACTTAGATATAAAGAGTAAGTCCTATTTCCTGGTAGTGACATGAATGGATTAACACAGCAACTTATTTCCTTGAGGAAATATAATGAAAATACTAGGATTGTATTAGAAACTTAATTTCTTTCTTAGAGTTAATTACATCAGAAATAAATCAGATACTTTGTCCAATTAAATTAAAACACAAAGATGTACATAGATTGCGTGTGTGTCTGTGTGTGTATGTGTGTGTGTATGGGGGATGGGATCTAGGACCTTGTATTTGGTTACTATTTTCATGCCCATATCTATGAGAATACAATGGTGGGGTCTCAAAAACTTTTCTCAATGTAAAGCAGATATATATGCATGGAGCAAAATATGTACATGGATGTGACAAAACAAGAAAAAAAATTTGGAGTTAACCTTGTGTCTGGTCTGTAAAAACATACACTTCATGTTCTTCTATTTCCCAGTGTTTAAACTTAGAATAATGGAAATGGAGAAAGAAAGCAAAATTTCTTTAATATCCCCTTTATGCCACAGGGACCAAATATTATAAAATCATAAGGACTAACAATTTTTGCTTCATTATAAACTGTTGGGTACACAGTTACAAGATCATGATATATATTTTGTATGATATTCTATATACTATACATTAAACAATGTTCAATTAAAATTAAAATGTATTTCATGAGCTTCCAAGAGTGATGTTACATCTTTTAACAAAGTACAGCATCATAAGCAAAGAAAGCACTATTGTGTAGCACTATTGCAAATTAAAATGATTTCTTCTCTTCCCTTTAGATACAAGGATACACATGAAGGGGTTTATTCATTTATTCAAGGCCAACTGGCTATATTAAAAGAACATATAAGCCCTGTCTTATATGAACATATAAGCAGAGTCTTCTGTAAAATATCATTCTGCTTTGCCTCAATAGCTGGACAATTTAATCTCAAATTGGAGCATCTTTTGATAACATAACTTCTAGAAGCTATTTTTCTTCTTCTAATGCTCAGGTTTTACTGTTAGATCCCCATTTGCTTCTTTTTTTTTAAAGAACAATCACTTTTTCCCCTTTTCAGACTGGCTATCAGGAAGTAAACATCAAGATAGCTTAATATTTAGGGAGGAAATCCAACATTGTATAGAGATTATAATTATGATCCTTTTCATTCAGAATTTTCTGATAAATGATGAGAAATTAGTTTGGGCTGGGATCATTTCAGTACAATTCTAGAAATGTGTTTCCACTTTTATTGGTCTTCTCTTAACATTAATTAGGAATCAACACTTGTGATGCCATTGTGCACTCAGAAAAACAAAACAAGAATGCTAAGGGGTCAGGGAGGTAGCTCAGTGGCCTAAGTGCCTGCCTGGCAAGGACAAGGTCCTGAGTTCAACCCCTGATACAAAAAAAAGAAAGAAAGAAAAAGCTAAGGGCCGGAGTAGCTCCGTGATGCAATGCATGCTTAGCACGCGCAAGGCCCTGGGTTCTTCACTCGATATTTTACAAATACATGATGTTAAATGAATTAATATACATGACAAAACAACAAAAATATCTGGTGTTTTGTATTTTCCATGACAACTAAATTTTTCCTACGCATCCTTTTGCTTTTGTCTTCAGTCTATCATCCTAAATTACAATTCCATGAAACTTGCTTTGCTGTTTTCTCTTTCCTTATACCCTGGTCCTTGGAATGATTGTTTCTTGTTCAGCCTTTTCTAGGGCTCTCTTGCTATTCATCTGAAGGGTCTATAATCTACTAATGTAGGCCCACTTGTTTTTGCTCAGGGACATTGTCCCTGGAATGTGACCCTGTGAAACCATACTGGATTGGACTCTCATCTCAGTGCTCCTAGAACTTGGGAGGCAAAACATTGAATCTACACCTTCCTTCAGGTCCTGCATCTACTCCATAACTATATTACTTTATCAAGCGTTAGCAGGAATAAATAACTACTAACATTTTATCTAGATATCCAATATCTCAAGCACCAAACTTGCTTTATGCTATAATTTGTTGTAGCATAAAACATTTCAAGGTTCCTTAAAATTCACAATGCATACTTAGCATCGCTTTAGTGATTTTTTTTTTTAAAAAAAACTCCCTTATACTATAGAAAGAGCATATGAAGAGCAGCTCAGAGAAGACACCTCGTCTTGTAGAAAAAGGCAAGGGGAGGCTAAAGTGCAGGAAGAACAAAAAAGAGAGACGAGGAAGAGTGTGAGGAAGGAAAAAAATACCTCAGTTTTCCCTCAGATTAAAAAGGGACCTCAACTGTGAGGGAGGACATTGTCTTAATCTTTCATTTCAGTTTTGAAATTCAGATTTAGAAATGTAGAAAAAAAGGAGTAAAAAGGAGTAAAAAAAAAAAAAAAAAAAAAAAGAGCAAGCTTCAAAATGTACCTGCCTCCTACCACCGTCACTATGCGTTCTAGTCACTCAATAATCACACCAATTTTCACAGTATTAATTTTGAAACTTGACATTGGTAAAATATGCAAATCTCTGCTTGGTAAAGTAATTGCTATTTATGAAGCAATCACTGAAAGAGCACATTTTTCTACCTCAAAGGAAATGACAGGTAGCGCTGATGTTTGTTTATTCTTTCCATTAAAGGAGTACATGACTTAAACTTCCCCAAATCTGTTTAATGTTTTCAGTGAAGGGCATGTAATTAATCTGAAAAGCTAGTTAGGCTGAGTAGAGACTACCAAATGTGCACCATAAATATAGTGGGAGCAAACATTTTAAATTACTCTATTTAATTGGACTGCAAATATGATTCATAAATCAACCAACATATGGGATCCCCCGGGAAAAGTAAACAAATTTTCCAAATGAAACCCCAGCAATGGGCATGTAATGGAAATCTCATTTTTGAAAATGATGTTACCCAAATACTTCATATATAGGATCTCAGTCCATCAACCCTTTTTATCATGTACATCTTCTGTGAAGGCCATGGAATTATTTCCTCTGAAGGAACTGTGCAAGCGTCCTTTCTTTTAACAGTGTATCTCCTACCTAATTTTAAGAGTAAGATCTGGTAATAGCAAAATAATACAAACTGTTTATCCTGGAAAAACTAAGTTGTTTTCTTTCTTGAGTGTTTTTAAGAAAAGACAGCATTCATCTCAGGCATGAAAGTCTAGAAAAATATGAAAGATGCAACATAGTTCTAGCAAAGGTCATTACAAGATAAACAAAAATGTGATTTTTCATTCCATTTGTTAAAAATGGTAGAAAACTAGATTCGTTAATTTCTAAAAGATGAATTTAATGATTTTTTAAAATACTGTACTGGCCAAAGGCTAAACTAGAAACTGAGAACAGGGACTTGCATTGGGTATGTTGTACCCTCCTCCCAATGGGACACATCTGAGTAACTTAAGTTACTTTTGGTTTGTGAAACCAAAAGATGTGATGCTCTTGCTTTAAAGACAAGGGGCCAGGCTCTCTTTACCATGGAGCAAGCATTATTACATGTTAAGGAAGCAAAATTAGTAAAGCTGTTGGAAAAAGTAAACAAAAGTTCTAACCTAGCTGGTCATTATTTGATTCATGGTCATTTTATGTACCCCTCTGCCTTCAAGAAAATGGAAATGCTTTAGTACCCAAACACTTGTGGCAACAAACAAACAAACAAAAACTGGTATGACAACTGTCTGGCAATTAGAAATTATAAGCCTTCTTAAATTCTGGGAATGGTCTACTCAACATTTCTCTCTCTTGAAGAAAATGCAAAGAACACTGCCAGACCCTCTACTTGGCTGTCTTCCTCTCAGCTGTACCTATTCCTCCCCTTCTGATAAAATGAGTTTTTCATGGCTTTAGGATGAAGTAGACTTAGCCACAGAGTCGCGCTTCACCTAGAACTTCAACATGAGAAACGAGAAAATGTTTCAGCTCTGAAAAGAAGTAAGCTTTTCTCTCTCTGTTAATGAAATTACTTTCTGACAACTATTCCGCCCTTCTTTCCGCATAATGTGATGACCTAGCAAAACAAAGCTGACAAGATTAAGACGAAGCTATAAATATGGTTTTAATAATCATCTAAAAGGATCTTAATTATGTTATCATATTGTACATCTAAGTATCTCTAGGTAATGGGAAGCTACAAGAGTATTGAACATTTTCTCTAAATTTCATTTTTCTAACATGTTATTAAAATCGATGTAGCCTTAAACTGATTTATTTCTGAAGGTTTATTCTTTATTTAGTTGATACAATAATTGTACACATTTAAAGGGTACAGTACACATTGTACGATGATTAAACCAGTATTTGCATATCCATCAACTCAAACATTTATTATTTCCTGTGATAACACCATTCAGAATTTAAAATCATCTTTCTCTATTAGTTTATATAACATATTTTAGTTATATATAATTAATTTTGAATTACAATATTACTGGCTTAAAGTAGACCAGGTCAAAGAATGGTTTTCATAGTAGTATGAATTTCAAAGACTATTTGCATTTGCCTAAGATTTCATTCTCTGTAAAATTATAAGTTATTTAGTAAAAGTTAGCCTCTGAAGCAAATTCCGTGCAATGTACTTCTATCTTCATGAGAACAGTGTGTTTCCAAGGACAGACTGTTTTAAAATAATTCACTAGAAAATTACATTCAGGATTCGGATGTATTACCTTCATTTCAAATACGATGTACTACTGAATGTTTGATGAAAATTTAACATTAAATCATGCCTTTAAAATGAACTCTGTTTACAAATGTTAAAGTTCCAAACTTTTTTAACTTCAAGTATTCGTAGACCACAGCTGTGACATCTCAACTTCTAACTAATGCTAAACTTGCTGAGTTGAAGTTTGCAAGCCCAAACTGAAGACTTAGAGTACTACATGTGCAGTATTTTTTAAGAAAGTATGACCATGTGTTTTGGTTTTCGAAGGCCATGTAATTATTTATAAACTATTTGAATACAATGAGACATCAACTCACTAAGTTCTGTGTAAAATGACAGATGTATCCCAATTTCCACATTTGTCCATGTAAAATGTGCTTTTGCTATTTGTTTATACTCAACAGAGGTTTTATGCTTTCAACACAATCATTAGGAACCAGACAAAACTATGCCCATTCACAATTAGAGGATATTAAGGATTTCTAGTCCAATATTAAAAGCAGGTGGAGAAAAATCTAAAATAAATAAATATTCCACCTTCAGAGACAGACCCTTATGGGCTTCAGCCCTAAAATTCAACTACAGAGTAATATTAATGCATAAGATAAATGAGAGTATGCTAAACTAATTTTCAAAAAAAATTGTTATATGCTATATATATATATATATATATATATATAATATTCATACAATTCTAACTAGTAGGAATCAGGTGTCTTTCTGTCTTAAATCAATTCAAGGTGAAAACGAAACTCTCCATTGTATTAATCAATACTTTTAATAATTGCCTGGCAGCTCAGCACTTTGGTAATTTTACAGATATCTTTCAAATATAACATCTGCTCTAAGTCTTATGATACTGAATTCTCAACTTTCTATTTATATAGTAAAATGAAACAAGTATCATAATACTATACCATTTAATAACAACTATGAATACCCTGAAAGTTTTATGAACAAAACTCTTGGCCTTTCCTTTGCCAAAGACTTTCAAGATTTGTTAGTTTTTCAGAGAGAAAGCTATTTGAGTTAACATTTTGGCTGAAATACAAGGACATTTCCAAAAGTTAAAGTTGCCCTTTGAGTACTAGTAAGAGAAATGCACACAAATGCAACATGCTTTATCTTTGCATTCTTATGAGCACACGTTGATATAATTTTATCCTCACTGAAATCAATACCCAAAGTCCAAAATGCCTCGAAAGAGACAGTAGAACTTTACCTATTTAGCATATCTTCAGCACTAAGCATTGTTTGGATAATCATAGTAGTCACTGGTTTACATTAGACTCAGAAGCTTTTCACATTGTGAAACTTTGCAACATTTGAATTATCTACCTACATATGCATGGAAGTGCAGAAGATTAGCATACTACAGTTAAGAATTGTTCAAATGTTAGTTTAATGTAAATATCTTTTTATTCTGGAAGGAAGCTCATTCTCTTAAGTATTCTGAGCAATACTGACTTGGCTATTTCTATAATTCTCTCCTTTTATGAAATTGACAATTTAATTATTTAAAATTAGTGTATATAATCTAGTCAAGTTTCAATATTCCTAAAATACAGTAGATTTGAAACCATGTTTAAAATTTGTTTTAGATAAACTGCCAGATTAATTTTGAAGTGCATTATAAATTAACAATTTCTATGCAAGCTTTAATGCTAAATATATGTCACAGTAAAAATGAAAATATGTAAGGTTTTATGTAATGAAACTGTATTGTACATAAACTGGGTTCATCAGCTGCACATGGGAATTAGAGATTGTTTTGAGCTCTATCCTTTGTAATGTTTTTTCGAAGAAATTATCCAATAAAAAGCCCTGAGCACTTAGTGAATATTAGTCTCTATGTTCAATGCTTTAGGCACATTATCTATTGTTCTTAACAAAATGTCTTAACTTTATTTTTACTATGGGGTCTCTGAACAAAGCATATTCTTTTAACTATTGCTGATTCTAAAAACCCGTCTCCACCAAGTATAAGCACAGGTAACATTTAAATGAATGTTTACTATGGGTCACGTGATCAAGTTACCACACTGAATCCCCATGACATCTTTTGAGGTGAGGATTATTATTTCCTATTTTTAAAGATGAAGAAAGGAAGGCTCTAAGCAATTAAAAAGCTCGCTGAAGAAGCAGTGGTGCCAGAAGATCAAACTCATCATTGTACGTATTGCCTTTCCTTGCAAACTACAGCACTTTTGCCAAAGAAAATGGAGAACTTGCATGTATATATGCAAAGTACTCCATGCAGTAGAACCAGATTAAGGGAAGGAATTGCTCTCCTAGCTGCTATTTTCTAAGATACCTGCCAGGAGATTGCTACTAATTCGTATTCTGACCCTGCTTCAACAAAAACTGGGAGAGAAAAGGAAGTGCTCATGGGCTTGTTCGAGAAACTCGTGACTACTATTTCCCCCAACGAGCAAGAAAAGCAAGTTCCACTTAATTTTTAGAGGCTGATTTCAAAGGAAATGTTGGAAGTTTTAAGGCTTCAAAATAATCTAACGAAAAGTACATATTTGGAACCTTTGGTACTGGCCATTGGGATTAAGAAATTTTCAGAGCTACCTACATCCGATCAGGAGAAGCTTGTTTTGGAGTTTTGAAGTCCTGATTCTAGTTAGTGCAGTCGTGTACTTAGACACAGACTCAGGCTTTTGTTGTAGTGGTTGCTTAGGGGTTTTCTTTCTTTCCTTTTTTTTCGCCCCCTCAGGGGAAAAAAAAACAAAACAGGAATGTTTTCACTTTTCTTCCGAAGAGTCAAAAGACAAGGGGGGAAAGGAAAATTAAGCGGTCCACAGCCAGTCTGTATAATTTGAGGTTTTCTCACTAATCTCCCTCGGGAGATTACGCCGCGACCTTTAATCGGAAACGGTCACTGGATTCGTTTATCTGGTCCCCTTCCCGTGCCGTCCCCGACAGCCGCAGCAGCGTTCCCAGCCGGCCGCCCGGACTGCAGGCCGCAGGCTCCAGCGCTGCTCTGGAACCCAGGGCGAAGCCGCCCGTCGGAAGCTCGCTCCGGAGGGGTGGACAGGGATCCCCGAGGGCCAGGAGCCCTGAGGCCGCCCCGCAGGGCCTCGCCTTGGGGAGCCCCGGGCTGGGGTCGACGCCTCGGCTCTGCCTGCCCAGCCCGGGGCCTCGGTCCTGCTGCCCCCGGCTGGGCTCCGGCTCTCGGGCTGACTCAGTGGAGGAGACGCAGACAGGGGCTCGGGTCCTCCTGCCAGGAGGGCCCCGCTGCCCCCCGGCCCACCTGGCCCAGCCCTCGCCGCTCACCTGACCGTACTTGGCTTCTTGCTCCAAGGCTCCCTTCTCAAGCCCATTCACTGCGTGCGGGGCTGCGGCTGGGAAGTTGCTGCGGCCCAGGCTGCTCCACTCCTCCACCTTGGGGCTATGGTAGGGGGAGCTGTCGCTTACTGCTGGGAAGGAGGAAAAGAAGTCAGGCCCAAGGCCTAACCCACGCGCCCCCTCCTGCGAGGCGACCCCAGCGCCACCGGGCGAGGACCTCCTGGAGCAGCCCCTGCACCAAGCCTCCCCAGCGTGTGGGCCCTAAAGCGGCCTCCTAGGCGACCAGCGGGAGACCTGGGGAGGTTTTACTCGGAGGTCCCTCTTAGTTGTTGCACCCAATGATGCAGGAAGATACAGTGTTTTGTTTGTTTGTTTGTTTGTTTTCTTTTTCAGTGAGCTTCAATTTCCCTTCTCCCTACTTTGGTCTCCCCAGATAAAGAAGTGGAAGAAACCTGAGAATTTACCCAAATCAAAGAAAGACCCCAGGAAGTTGAATGCCCTATTCTCTACTTTCCCAATCCCATCTCTGGGCCAACTGGAGGGAGGGTGACAGATCTGGACTGAAGGAGGCTGAAAATGGAGCATCAAGACCTCAGGGCGCCTGGGCTGGTGCTCAGAGACACACAGAAAAGTGCTCTCTGTACTGTGAGGATCAGATACTTCTGTCAACAGACAGAAGAGAAGACCTCAAAGTGCTTTGCAAACAAATAACTAAGTGATGCACACAATACACATGCAAAATATACATGCGTGACTTTCTGCCTTGTGCGTGCCTAGGTCCACTCCACACGCTTGGCCTCTACGCATGACGAATGTGAGGCTATGTGAATGTGGCTAAAAAGAAAATCTTGTAATGGCCACTGTGCGCAGCACGAACATCATATGGAGGCAGGATCATATGGAGACATTTTTTAAGTATAAGAGAAAATTAAATAAAATGTTAAGAAAATGAAAGTAGAATTAGGTGTCAAGGCATAAAGCAAAGAGTTAGCTTTTCTGCTTTTGCCGAATATGTAGGGAAAATTACATAGTACAGTACTGTACAGGATGATTATCACAACACCTAGGGTTGTACACAGCAAAGTGCTGGCTTCTTTAAATGACTGAGGGTAATTTCAAAAAGGAAATATTTGAAGACTAGAAGCAACATGTTATTGTCTCTGGATCCTATGGCAAGAAGAACCACCTTTGACAAAACACTATGACTTGATTTGAAACACTTTCATCTGATAGGTCTTAGAAGGGATGTTCGTTTCATACACATCTTTGTGTTTCTATTCTCAGATTTGTCAGAAGCCAGGCAGGCTGTCTACAGCCAGCACCCAAATCATCAACAGAAGCCATGAAGAGTCACTTTGCTCCATAAGCCACCACCTCCAGCTGATACTCCATCTGATTGCAGAACCCCTAGGGAAACTTTCCTTTTCATCTTTTTTCACCATAGCCCCCTCAAAGAAGTTGTGCTCCTAGTTTTTGCACCATTAAACTGTTTTGGTGCAGAACTGCCTGAGTCTCTCTGCCTTCCCAGACAAAAGGCAATCGGTGGGCACAAGTCCGAAGTTATCTTAAGAAATTGAGATCCCCCTGTGAGCCCCATTTCTGCTGATCTCACACTTTCCCATGAACAGGGGCTTCCTTTAAATGTCAGTGAGGTCAGTTTATCCTATAAATCAAGGGCAAACTCTCTCCAACCAAAGCTCCAACAAGCTCCAAATAAGACAAAACTGGGCTCTTGTAAATTCACAGGCAGAAAACAAGAATATGAGAAATCAGGGCTCTGCTTTAACGACTTAAAAACATAATTGTGCCAATATGGTGGCAAATGCAAAAAGCAGGAAATAATTAAAGGAAACATTTGTCCTTTGTCTATTTTTCCCGTTCGGTTTTTAAACTTTACACTGAGAAATTAAGAAGTTAGACTCTCTTACCTCTGTGTCTAGAGCACTTTGATTCTTTTTACTCTACCAAGAAAAGACGTTAACACCCTTTTATTTTTTTTAACAACACAGTAAAAGAAAACAAACTCAGGTCTCCCAAAGAAGCCAGATTGGGCTGCAGAACTCTGGGAATCCTTCTAACACCACAGAAAAGATGCACAGGACATGGCAAAATCAGGGATAAGAAAGAAAAAGACGCAGGAGATGGTGTAATTTTTTAAAAAGTGCAAAAACTAGATACATCTATGTATCTAGTATCTATCTTGGGCCACTGGAATTGCCAGGGACCAAGATGACAGGAAAGGAAAACAGCAGGCTCAGGAAAAATGGGTGAGAACAGTAAAAAGTACTGCTTAGAAAGTTTATGCTCCTGCATTTGGTGTTGGTCATCCCTATGGCACTGTTGTCTCTTCTGAGTGGAGAGAGAGAGAGAGAGAGAGAGAGAGAGAGAGAGAGAGAGAGAGAGAAGAAAGGGGGGAAAAGGAAGGAAAAGACAGCAAAGGGAGACTACAAGCAAGTTACTCATAACCAGGACCTCAGTTTCCGAGGAAAATGAAGTGAAGCATAAGAATGAAACCAATTAGGTGACATTTGAACTTCCTGCCTGAGCAAATTTGGCCTGATTGCCAGAATCTGAGAATACTACAATTTCCACATCGTAAGGACTCCTAGCTGTGTATCTGATCTCAAGCATGTTGCCCACAGTGGCAGCTGCAGCCCACTACCCCAAGCCAGCTAAGCCCTCCCGGGCTGCGCCCCTGGTTCTGCCGGGCAGTCGCTGCTGTGAGTAAGCGGGCTGAGGCTGCCTCGGCGGGAGAGGCGGGGCAGGGTGGAAAATGTGAACCATGTGTTGGGGATGGGGGATGTTATGGGTCTGGTAGTTTGAGATGAGGCAGGAGAGACTGTGTGTGGCAAGGAAACCAGGGGCAAAAGTTCCAAGTTAATGAGATCAGGACACCACGTGAGAAGACCCCTTATGACTCCAAAGGAAAAAGCCTCAGGTGGTGGCATCCACAAGGGCTGGCAGGCCGCAGATAATGGGATTCCCCAGGGAGTCTGGGATCACGCTCTGACATCCTCAAGTCGGGTGTCAGAGCCCTTACCTTGGTCAGTGATGGAGCGGATGCCCAGGATGTCCGTGACCGAATGCGAGGAAGGCCAGGTGCGTGGCATGGCCACCGAGCCAGGGATGGCGGGCACCCCGGGTGGCGTGGGCACCTTGGCTGCCGCTGCCGTGATGGGGCTAGGATACGAGTAGATGTGGTTGTAGGGCAGCGCAGGCTGTGGCGCCGGCTGGTGCTGCTTGTACGAATCGTAATGGCTTTGCTGGGCCAAGTTGCCGATCTTGTTGCGTAGAATGCGGCTGATGGAACTCACCGAGGGCACGTTGTACTTGTCGCACACGCCGTCGGCTAGCAGACGGTCGCGGATCTCCCAGGCGAAGATGCCGGGGTCTCTCTGCTTGTAGGTCCGGATGTGTTTCACCACGGTTGGGGTGGTGACCCGGGGCTTGCTGCCCCCAATCGCTCCAGGCAAGATCGAGCCCGTCTCATTGTAGCGCGCCAAGATCTTGCTGACGCAGCCGTGAGAGACCCGGAGCTGGCGGCTGATGTCACACGGTCGGATACCCAGTTGGGCCAGTTCCACGATGCGAAGCCGGATGGCATTGGGCAGCGGCCTTCCGTTCACGAACACTCCTCCTAGCTGGTTCACCTCCCCGAAGGCCGGCTCTGCAAAAGGAACACACAGCGCGCGGGGACGCGCACCCGCCGCTTGGGACAGCTGTCTGCCACTTGGCCTCGGTGTGCGTCCAGGGGCAGGGCTAACGAACCCGCCCTGACTCACGACTGGGGCTGTCCCGAAGCCCTAAGGTCCCGAACTTTGCCGAACAGCCGCAAACAAGTTGCGGTCAGCTCGGACCCCCTTCCTCATTCCTGCGGTGGGGGCAGCAAGTGAAGTGCTGAGACGCAGCCGGGCTCCGACCTACGATTGTCGGAAGCAGCCGGAGAAATCGGCCCAGACGCCGGAACGCGCCCCCTCACCCCTGCCCTCGAAACCGAAGTCCTCGGGCCTCCTCTCCTCTCCACCACCACCTCATCTCCATCGCCGCGCCCCGAAACGTGTGCTGTTAGACTGGAAAGTTTTTCTGTTTTGTTTGAATGTATGAAACAGAATTTGGATTGCGCCTGGAGCGGCGGGACTCTCGGATACCGCAGGTCCCGTCTCTCAAAATCAGAAAATGGCATCGACAGCAACGCGGTAGCCAGCGACCGCACGGAGCTGACGCGCGCCGCTGACCCTTAGCGTTCCCACAACTTGTAGCAACACGAGCAAAGTCAACACGGAGCCCCGTGCGCTCCGCCGCGCGCCCTGACTCCCGCCCTCCCTCGCCCGCCCGCTCCCTCCCTCCGCGGCTCTGACAGCGGCCCCGCCACCACTCACCCATTGCTCCGAGCAGTACACCAACCCGGCCCGGTCCAGAAAGAAACTTTGCACCCGGCCTCAGTGGCCCGGCTTGTCTCTGATCCTGGCTGCCGGTGTCTCGGCTTCTCCCCGGGAGGAGGCGGCACGAGTGCAAAAGGAAGCAGTAAAAGGAAGTCTGTGCCCCGATGAAAGAGGCTTGAGTTCTGCATTTCAATCTCAGTAGCAACGTGGGCTGGGCTGAGCAGGGCCGGGCGGCTCCGTCTATCACTCACGGGGGACACGCCCCCAAAGAGGCGGGCCCGAGGGTAAACTGCGTGGTGATTGGTGAAGGCAGGTGAGCGGCAGTGCAGCCCGGAAAACTCCTTCCGCTGTCTTTTTCAGGCTGGCTCCGCACCTGGGTGACTAAATACAAAGAAAATGGGTGTTTGACATCTTCTCAGGGCCGACACAAATAGACAGCAATATCAGTCCGGTAAAAATGCTGAATAAGCAAATGAAAGCGATAGGTCTGAATAGGAGCGACTCGAAGAGTGTAGGGACAGAGGACCGCCTCTCTGGGGGATCTAGGGACGTCTAATAAGAAATGAAGCTAAAATTATGGATGGGAGGAGGGCGCCACAGTTTACACATATGGGAATATTTAGAATAGTAACCTGCCCTGTGGGCCTTCAGGAGGCATCAGGAGGGGACCTCGGTTTCCCACTGATTGTACTTCTTTTCAGTCTACTCCAGGTGAGGAGCGTGCAGGTGTGGGAAGGCAGGCCGGTCGGAGAGACCAGGAGGTTGAGGGGAGGTCAAGCCAAAAGTGTGAAGGCCCAGAACGACATCCAGATGGGGGACGGGATATTAGACACCCGTGGATGAAGTAGCACAGAACCTCGTGCCCACGGCCTCCCACGCTCGGTGCCCAGCGCTCAGCGCACAGCACAGCCCTCTGTGACTCTCAGCCCCATGCAGGGCTATGGGTCTTTGCTACCAGAACTTGCTGGAGTTCTCCAAACTAGAGAGCCATCGCAAAAGGGTTTTGCTTAAACATGAAAGATATGTGGTCTCAAAGAGAAGTTGCACATGTATGTAACTCTTAAGACTTCTGTTTACCTACCAGAGGCCCTAAGGATCTGCCAACCTCTGAGTTTTCATTTTCGTTCATTCACTATAAGTCTAATCTGCAGTGGACAGTATGCTTTGGGGTAGCCAAATTTATTTATAAGTGAAGTAAGGATTGTGGAGAATGTGAACAAAATGATAAACAAGATAAGAAACATTTTTAATGAGTGTGAGAGTTTGCAGTATTTAGGGTGGAGGATAACAGTACTGCTACTTGATCCTTCCCGTCCCCTCACAATTGGGGCTTCTTTTCCTACCACCCCCAGAGATATCTGTGGTTCAGGTCACTCCTCAGAAAGTGACAAGAACATAGGGAAACACTCCTGATCAGTTGTACTTCTCAAAATGAACATTGATATTTAGTTTCCCATGCTTCTATGATGGAAGGGCACTCTTGAATTCAAATTGAGATTCTGACGAATGTCTTCAATTCAAATGCCTTTGTTTCCTTACTATCGAGATCTTCCAAAACATCCCACAGCTAGAAATACTTGAATTTGTTCCTTTTACTTTGTTGGTTGCTCTCTAATGTCTTGAAGTTCGACTTGAAAGCAGTTTTACCCTGCAGTGACCCTCAAAGCCTGTTGCATGGCACTGCCTCGCACTGTGCAGTGAGGAAGGACTTTCGCAAATCCAAGATTTTAAAAGCAGTAGTTTCTTCTTAGGTTTCGGGCTGGGGAGATGGCTCAGTAGAATAAGCGCTTGCCTGGCAAGCGAAAGCACCTGAGTTCAATCCCCAGTTCTGCAATAAATGAATAATAAAGGCTCTTTCGGGCCTGAGACATCCACAAAAGAGTGACCCTACTCTGCAACCTGATCAGTCACCCTACCTCCCCTAAAGACCCAAACCCCAAGTGAGAGGTTTGCGCTCTTTGGGACGAATGCTATGTGAGTACAGTGCAAGGTCATTCAGCCTAAAGGTTAGCTGGACCCCGTTGCCTCAGAAGATCTAACACCATCAGCCACGATGGTTCAGTGCTCAGGCTAACACACGACACCCTCTTGTCTTCTCTGAGCCATGTAGCCACCACATGTCTCTCACACGCTGTTGAGCAGATTCTTTGCTATCTCTCCCTTTCCACCTGCTGGAGCTAGCTGTGGCCTCACATGGCCTTATCTGCTGTGGCTCCCTCAGGCAGCCTCTCACTGGACACAGACGCCATCATCTTGGCGTTCCGCAGACCCACCTCAAATTAACAATTGTGTTTGGTGCATTCTCAAGAGCATGAAAAGAATCAGTCTTAGGCATTCTGGGCCATTAAGCATCCCAAGCAGCAGAAACCCACATTCTGGCACAACAGAAATCAAGCGGCAGAAGCTTGGAAGGACCTGAAGGAATCTCAGCAGGAAAGTCTGGTGCCTCTTCAGGTGCACACTGAGTGGAGGGGCAAAGTAGAGAGTGACCCACTGAGGGTAAGCCAGGAACCACAAATCTGGGGGATGGAAAAAAGGGAGGGGACACAGACACAAGGGGGAGCAGAGAGAGAAAGGCGACTAAGGTCCAGTGAGCCCGGTAGACACAGGGATGCAGAAGACTTCAAAAGACAGGGCAAACGTCACAAGGGGTCCTTGGTTACTGTCTGCTCTAGATCCAGGAGTCACACAGGCTTCGGAAGAATTTCGACTGAAAGGGGAAATTTAAGACCAAAACCAAAACACAAGCACTAAGGCCTAGAGCTGGCTCAGGCCAGGGAGAAGCCAAAAGCTTTTCACTGAGCACTGTCAGGGCCTCCTACCAGGGGTGACCCCTTCTCTGGGTAAATATTTACACTGGGAGACTGGAAGCCGGCTGGGCCACAGAGTGTGAGGGAGGAGGCTAAATGGAGTGGAGGAATCCACACACTTGTCACTGGTGGGGTACCCAAGTACACTGGCCCAGATGCCCGGCTCAGGACTGAATGAGCATTTGGGCCGGGGGTGTAAAGCTGGGGAACTTTAACCCAAAGAGTTTCTTCTCGGATAGACTCTGCTCTGCCCCAGTGCAGCCAGACCAGATGCAGTAAGCGCTCCATAAATCTGTCAGTGGTCCCAGTAGCAGGAGCTGTCACCTGTGGTGCACCCCTCTGGGCAATGGCAGGGTCTCTGGAGAAGATACTGGAATCTGGCTCCTGCCAAGACCAATGGCAGTGGCCTGGCAGGGGGCACCTGAGTGCTGCAGAGGGAGGAACCAGGGGCTGCAGACCTTAGGCTCGGACACAGTTAGACCGGCTGGGTCCTCAACCTGTCCAGACACGGGCTTCTCAGGGCGTGCAGGTCAGTGAAGACCCAGGTTGGGGGCGGAAAGTGTGTGTTTCTTGTTCTCAGTTGCAGTGAAGATGAGCAGATTTAGCAGGCAATTCCTCCATTTTGCTCTCCTGCTGGGGACAGATGGACCCTGCACAAGACCCAGGCAACCGTGACCGCTTCTCTCCCACCATGGGAGTCTGTAGGCACAGGAAACAGCCAAACACAGAGTTCCAAGACAGCGATTTTCAGCATATAGAGACTTCTTCCAGCCAACCGAATGGAAATGATAAGCAAAGGCAGACAACTCTTTCCCCCTGCAGAGTGAGTGGAGACTGCTTAAAGGCCCCGTCTCTACAAAGCTGTGCCCTCACGGGCTCAACGGTGATTCCTTGGTCTATCCCGTGGACAGTGGCAACTAGAAGCCTGTCCTGCGCTCAAGGCCAAGACGGGTCCACCCTGGGCTACTCACCTAGCCGATCAGCTCCGGGAGCCTCAGGCAGAGGCAGAGGCTAAACTACGCGAAGTTAGGGAACGACACAGCCTGCCCAGGTCAGTGGCCTTGGTGGGGAAATGCGGGATGCCCATAGATTGACCTACCTGCCCGACTCGGTGTAGCTGCGGACGAACCGGCCCAAATAGAAGTCACAAGGACCAGATGCAGTCAGGAGATGCTCGGAGAGTTGCCTCTCAGCTTAGCCTTCTCGCCAACAAGCCTCGTGATTCCAGAGCCTTTTTTCGGCCGCGGGAAGTAGCTCCTGCGGCAGCAGACGTGTGGAGCAGAGCGCAGAATTCTCGCTGCCTGCGGGGTCCCAGAGTGGCCTCCCGAGCGCTGCAGGCTGTGGGATCTGCCCCGCGGAGCACCCGGCTCAGGGCCGATTTCTCCTGCCCAGGGCAGGGGAGGGGCCTGTTGCGGCCTGAAACCCGCTTTTAATTCTCCGTCTGCCTGCTTCGGATCACCCCGGGTTGGTTTTTCTGTTTGCTCACTCCTTCTATTACAATAAAAACAATCGACATTTCTTTTCAGTTTCCCCATATTAGCGTCACTCAGTAATTGTTCTCCACCTCCTCCCTCCCCCTCCCGAGTTGAAGGCAGCGGGCTTGCTGGTATTCTCACATTGGAAGGTTTCCGAGTATATAAGCAAATCTTCCTTAAAGACTTTAAAAATAAATAATGGCCCGGGAAATTACCGTGACCCTAACATCAATTTCTGAACGCAAATTACACCCATTTTCCAGTTTTCAACAGAGGAACTGCTTTCAAAAGAAAGGCGCATAGCCTCGTGTGATATGGCTAAGTTTGTTTATTAAATGCATAAATGAAAAAGAATTTTTGTGTGTGTGCGCGCGAGGGACAAAACTCCCCGTGGCTGCGACGCGGTAAGCGCAAGAATTAGATTCTGACGCAGGGACAGAAACAGGAGGGATCCTGCGGGAAGACCGAGCTGACCCTCCTAGCCCTCGGGAGGGGACCTCGGATCCCCCGGGACTGCAGCTCCAGGAGCGGGCGGCGGCGCGGTCACTGCGCAGTCTTGAGCTGCGGTGCTCAGCCGAGTTGCAGCTGTGTGTGGGAAAAACAGCTGTTGGAGACCCTGCCCTCCGAGAGCCTGCACGAGGGCATTGGGGCGGCTCCTTGCGAAGACCCGATTGGCCTAAGGGCTGTCTGGAAAAGATAACCGCCAACCAGGCCGCGCCTCTATGCGCAGATCTCCGGACCCCAGCGCCGGTGAAGCCCAGGCGCGCTTGCGGGGGAGGGGTGCGCGGCGGGCCTGGCTCTCCACGGAGCAGGCCAGGTGGCAGCAGGCTGCAAAAGGCCCGCAGTTTTTTGCTTAAGATAGGGACGCGGTTAGCGGGGCCTGAGATTTGGCAAGGCTTCTACTGCTGGTGGAGGGGCCAACTCTTATTAGAACGAATTAGGGCATCCGAAAAGCCTGAATCAACCCATGGTCCTGAGATACCATGACAGGCGCTGGAGTTCTTTCCAAACTTGCTCACTGCACGTGGATTCCGGCTGCAGGTGACACGTGTGCCACACTGGCCCAGATCTTGTGCAGCCTGTGCGTAGTCTCATGAC